CACACACTCACACACACACACTCTCACTCACACACTCTCACTCACTCACTCACACACGCGCGCACGCACTCACACACACGCACGCACTCACACTCACACACACACACACTCTCACAGACACACACACTCACACGCACTCACACACACACACACACACACACACACACATCTGTGCATCAGTCACTTCAACTTCTGGAGTTTCCTACTGAACATTTTTGACATACTGTACAACATGTTTACTAGGTGAATCTCACAAGAACATGTCGCAATTTGCACATTTTCATAATAATTGCATTTTCTATTAAATTCCGTTTCCTCTCAAATTGTTGTTATTGTAATAAAATATATTTGCTGTTAATCTGGTTTAAAGATTTAGAGTTATGCTATGGTGTGATATTACCATGTAACATTTCATATTTTTTAAATTTAAATTTAAATTTAAATTTAAATTTAAATTTTTTTATTTAAATTTAAATTTTAAATTTTACAGTTTGGTCTCGTACTGTATGGCGTACCTTGTCAGTGTCGTGCACTTTGCTTGGCCATTTGTTGGCCAAACAGGAAAACAGGAAAGTGTGTTCAAGCGCCAGCAAAACACAGTGTAAAGAAATAGTCTTTGAGAGAAGCAGTCAATCAGCAGAAGTTAAAAGCAGCTCGTAAGTGTATTTATTTCTTGTCTCAGTGTTTAGCGCAGTTGTCGTTGCTAGGAAACGCTTGTTTTGTTTACTGTGTGGAGACGTGCTGAAATCGCGTTTGGTCTCGTACTGTATCGCGTACCTTGTCAGTGTCGTGCACTTTGCTTGGCCATTTGTTGTGATAAACAGGAAAGTGTGTCCAGCTGAATTCAATTTGAGTTTTGTTAGATGAATATAAAAAGCTTAGTATACCGCGGCAGCCCTCGTGTTAAGCTCTCCTCGTGTGAAGACCGAAGAGTGTAAAGACCATCGACTGTACCGTTCGACTCCACCAAGCAGGGACACCGAGCAAGGCACATAAGTATAGCTTTGGAATCATTCTCTTTCCTACTACTTGTTTCCCTTCTGTTTTCAGTTTTTATAACCAATTCTTACTATGTGTTTCCAGATCCCTACTATCACTACCACTCGCAAACCATGCATCACACACTGTAGGCAGCGCAATCCTAACAACCTGCGCACTTTGCCTATGTCTACTAATACACTACTTTCTTTTTCTATTGGTCTCTGGAATTGCCAGTCTGCTGTAAACAAAGCAGATTTTATTACTTCTATTACTAGTCATTCAAGACTAAACCTAGACAGAGACGTGGATCAAACCAGAGGACAATGCTACACCTGCAGAACTATTACTAGTCATTCAAGACTAAACCTCATGGCCCTGACAGAGACGTGGATCAAACCAGAGGACAATGCTACACCTGCAGCACTCTCCAGTAATTTCTCTTTTTCCCACTCCCCCGTCTGACTGGAAGAGGTGGAGGTACTGGTCTGCTTATCTCTAATGATTGGAAATTTAATCCTTTATCATTTCTGAGTATCAACAGCTCCTTTGAATCACATTCAGCCACTATTACCCACCCTCTTAAAATCCATTTTATAGTTGTTTATTTACCCCCAGGACCACTAGGTAACTTCGTGGAAGAATTAGATGTGCTGCTCTCAAACTTTCCTGAGGATGGTACTCCCCTAGTTATGCTTGGAGACTTCAACATCCACCTAGATAAACCTCAGGCTGCAGACTTCCACACTCTGCTTGCCTCTTTTGATCTCAAGCGAGTATTAACTACGGCTACTCACAAATCAGGCAACCAACTGGACCTTATTTACACACGACACTGCTCCACTGATCATGTGCTTGTTACTCCACTACACACCTCGGATCACTTCCTCTCACCCTCCCGGCTATCTGCTATGGTTTCATCTTTGCTTCCTTCCCCTGAACAGTTATCATCTCTTGATGTTAACAGTGCTATTGATACTTTCTGCTCCACTCTTACGTCTTGTTTAGACAATGTCTGCCCCTTGTCTTCCAGGCCAGCTCGTACCACCTCTTCTGCCCCTGATCTGATGTTCTGATGCACACTTTTCCACACCACAAACTGTCAAACACATCTTACCAGCAAACATACACTCGTTTTCATCGTTCTTTCTACTCTCTGAGGCAGAAGTCTCTGAACTCATCCTTTCCAATCATCCTACTACTTGTCCGCTTGATCCTATTCCATCTCATCTCCTTCAAGCCATTTCTCCTGCCGTTGTACCTGCACTCACTCACATCGTTAACACATCCCTTCACACTGGTGTTTTTCCCTCAACATTTAAACAGGCTCGTATAACCCCACTCCTTAAGAAACCCACTCTTAACCCAACTCTTCTAGAGGACTACAGACTGATTTCCCTTTCACCTTTCATTGCAAAAACACTTGAACAAGCTGTGTTCAACCAAGTCTCTGCCTTTCTCACACAGAACAACCTCCTGGACAGCAACCAATCTGGCTTCAGAAGTGGACATTCGACCGAGACTGCCTTGCTTTCAGTTGTTGAAGCCCTAAGACTGGCAAGAAAGGCTTCCAAATCTTCTATACTTATTTGGCTGGATCTGTCTGCTGCTTTTGATACGGTGAACCACCAGATTCTCCTGTCAACCCTATTGGAAAATGGCATCTCAGGAACCGCACGCCAGTGGTATGAGTCTTTCCTCTCAGATAGGTCCTTCAAGGTATCTTGGAGAGGTGAGGTGTCCAAGTCGCAACATCTAGCTACTGGGGTGCCTCAGGGCTCAGTACTTCGACCACTTCTCTTCTCTGTCTACATGGCATCACTAGGTTCTGTCATTCAGAAACATGGCTTTTCATATCACTGCTATGCTGATGACACTCAACTCTACCTCTCATTCCATCCTGATGATCCGACGATAGCTGCTCGCATCTCAGCATGTCTAACAGACATTTCTTGTTGGATGACGGACCATCACCTTCAACTCAACCTGGCTAAGACAGAACTGCTTGTGGTTTCAACAAACCCATCACTTTATCAAAATTTCCAACCAAATCAATCCGAGCAGCTGAGTCCTTAGCCATCTTCAAGAAACGAATAAAAACACATCTTTTCCACCTTTATTTGACGCTCTAAGTCTAGCACTTTCTATTCTACTTTATCTATATTTATCTTCTTTTTTTATTTAAAAAACAAAACAAACACTAGCTTTCTATTTTTTCTATTCTATCTGCTTTTTTTTAGATAATTTTTTTCTTTGTGTGTGTGTGTGTGTGTGTATGTATATATATATATATATATATATATATAAAATATAATATAATATATGTGTATATATGAGTTGTGTTGCATGTTCTGAGAATGACCTGCCCAACTCAATCCGAGCAGCTGAGTCCTTAGCCATCTTCAAGAAACGAATAAAAACACATCTTTTCCACCTTTATTTGACGCTCTAAGTCTAGCACTTTCTATTCTACTTTATCTATATTTATCTTCTTTTCATATACTTTTCTATGTGTACTGCGTTAGGCTAACCCTTGCTTGTCATTTGCACTTATATATTGTTGCTCTTTTGTTAGTTTTGACTCTTTTTATTGTCCTCATTTGTAAGTCGCTTTGGATAAAAGCGTCTGCTAAATGACTAAATGTAAATGTAATTAAATGTTATTATTTTATTTATTAGCAAATTAAATCTCATTGAAATGAAAAATTCATTAAAATATAAAAATGTATTTTTATATACATTTAATTACTTTAATGTATGTCAAAATCATAGAATTTTATTTATTTATTTTCATAATGATAAATTCATTTCCCATCAAATTTTCATTATTGTAATGCATCTACATATTTTTAATTGATGGTTTTGTATAATACTTTATATTCTCAGTGGTGATTCTCAGTACTGTAATGCAGTCATTTTTTTTATTATTTTTTGTTATAAACTAAAGCATACATTAATGTCAGAAAACATAAAAAACATACCATGATGTATTAAGTTTCATTGACATTTATTTATTTATTTTTGCATTCATGTATAAAAATTGGGAGTAGGTTGGTGACCGTGAAAAACCTAGAAATATCAGTGATTTTTGTATATTGTGATAATGGAAAAAAGCATTACAAAAAACAACAAATATAAATAAATATACACTGCAATTCAAAAGTTTGGGATCAGTAAGATTTTTAATGTTTTTTAGCCTGCCTGCATTTATTTGATCAAAAATGTGGTAAAAACTGTATTATTGTGAAATATTATTGCCATTTAATATAACTTTTTATTGTAATACATTTTTAAAGGTATTTTAAAATGTAATTAAAAATGCATGGTAATATCATATATATTTTTAAAATAATTTTTATTTATTAAATTATAATTTTATTTATTTATTATCAAATCTCTCTAAAAATGTCAAAATCATAGAAATTGTCATAGAAATTAATTAATTAAAAATATATAAAAATGTATGGAAATATAGTTTCATTTTTTGTTTTGTATTTATTATTAGTGAATTATTTTTAGTTTAATAAATGTTCATCATTTCATTTCGTTATTATTGCATTTATTTGATTACATTTATTTTACTACATTTTATTATTTTATTTGTCTTTTTAGGAAAAACAGCATTTATTCAAAATACAAATCTAAGTATTTAAGTATTAATTCCTTTAAAAAATATATTTTGAACGGTAGTGTATATAATAAATATATGTTGTTAAATACCTGTGTGAGAGCATTAGATCTCTTTAAAATGAAAAGGGTCACAGTAATGGAAATTGATTGGTCAGTGGTTTGGGAGCTGTGTCTTTTGAGCAAAATGGACAATAATAGTTATTTCTGTCTTGATTTTGTGGTAAAGTCTGTTCCTCAGCCGATCTGATTCACCTGTTGCTCAAATATTGAACAGAAAGAATCATACTTTGAAGAGCTTTGTGTGCTGTGGAACATGTGGAGACTCTGACAGGCTGTGTTTGTCTTTGGTCTGCTGGAGAGAGTTTGATGACACCAGTCTCACTGAAAGAGGAACAAATCAGAAAACAGACGCAGAGGAGATTACGTCACTGACAAACTCCACAAACATTACCTATAGCTTTAATCATAATAATACTCAGCAGCCCTTCTGAGTGTGCTGTGGCAGAATGATTACCGTGGTATTACTATGGTTCTTTTGAGTACTACTATACTATGGTATGATATTACCATGTAACGAAAATGCAGTTTAATTTTTTTATTAGTGAATTTCATTTATTCCATTTATTTTAGTACAGCAAATGAAACTAAAATGTCAAAATCATAGAAATTAATTTATTAAAAGTTGTTTAAAAAGCATGGTAATTTAGTAGATTTATTTACTTGTGAGTTTATTTTCAATTTATTTTATTAGATTTTCATCATTTCGTTTTTTGTTTGTGGATTGATTTTGTTACATTTATTTTATTACATTTAATCGTTCTATTTATTATTAAATTAAATCTAATTGAAATTAAAAAATGTCAAAATCCTAGAAATTCATTCATTCAAATATTTAAAAAGCTTGCAGTATAATAATTTCAGAATTTGTTTATTTATATTTTTATGAGTGGATTTATTTTTTATTTATTCCATTCATTTTCCAAGTTTATTTGATTGAATTTGTTTCATTTTTTATTAGTGAGTTAATTTTTATTTATTAGATTTATTATTATATTATTTTATTTATTAGCAAATAAAATTTCAGACATTTAATACTGAACCCTAAGTATCAAATGAACAAATTCTAATCAAGTTTCTTTACACTAATAGTTAGTCCTGTGTATTTAGTTTGAAACTGTACTAAGTCTGTTGTTTTCTGTAGATTTGGCGATGCAGCTGAACCAAGGGAAATTTGAATATAATGGCTCATGCGGGTAAGTTTAAATAATCTAATTATGCTAGAAATCACAAAAACTCAACTAACTTAGAGTTTTGCCTGAAAATGATGCCTTTTGCTTGCTGTTAATCGTGTTTGAAGTACTAGAGTTTCTGTGCTGGGAAAAAAAGTTGCGGGGAATTTAAAATGTTTTACATCAAATAAAAAATAGAGTGCATTAGACAAGCTGTATGCTGAGCTGAGCTGAGCCTCCATCCATTATTACTCAGGGTTTTTGATAGCTATTGCAATAATGAACCATCATCGGCTCAGAAACGAACCAAATACTCTTGACACAATTATCGCTTGACAATACATCACGAGTTTCACTTACAGAGAAAACATCGCTCCCTAAAGCCTCAAAGAGCTGATATCAGAGTTTCCTTCATCAAAACATACTTTCAGAACTTCAGCACTTCTGGAAAACTTCTCTTCAAAACTACTTCTTCACTGCGACTAAACTGAAACGTGTTCTGTGAAAAACGTGTTACTCATTTAATATACAAGGTGCATTTGCCTAGAAATTTAAAGATGATTTTCTCAGTATTTCGTTTTTTTTGCACCCTCAGATTCCAGATTTTCAAATAGTTGTATCTCGGCCAAATATTGTCCTATCCTAACAAACCATACATCAATGGAAAGCTTATTTATTCAGTTTTATTATTTTAAAACGGACACTTAAGACTGGTTTTGTGGTCCAGGGTCACAGTTGTTAATCGTTTGAAATAAATAGTTAAATGTAAATACAAAAGTGTAAATAACAAATACATTTAAATAAAATAAAATCAATTTGAATAAATAAATAAAAGTGGAAAATTAAAAATACTAAATTATGACTTAAAAACTTCTGTACATAATTGCATCATAAATGATTTGCCCACATAAAATAGATTATACATAATATTTATCACCTGTACACTGCAGATGATTTGAGGAAATCAGGTTATTGATGCTGTTGATGCTGCTGTTGTTTTTTTGCTGTTTTGAACTGGTTTCTTCTTTAAAGCGGCGGCAGCAGTTGTCAGTGTTAATTTGCTCTCATCCAGTGCTGATGTGTGATCCACGCTGTGAGACACTGTGAAAACTCCAAACATATTAATCAACTCATTAATCACGGCAAAGCAGCGCTATATCCATTAGCATTATGTTTAGCGGTGTGAATTGAATATGGGACAGGAGAGACTTCATTGCTTTAAGGTGACTGCTGATAACAGCTCTGGACTCTCCCAGGTTTCTGCTGAAGCCTGATTTCATGCGGCGGCCCGATCGCATGTTCGACCCGTTCTCAGAGACGCCGGTGGACGGAGTGATCGCCGCCACATGCAGCGTCCAGGTGTGTGTTCATTCAGATCCAAACCACGGTCATGGACAATCTGTACAGATTTGAAAGCACAGAAATTTCTATAGTGAACATACCTTTTTTTAGTAAAACCTGCTTGCAATTTGTTGGTTCTTTTTAATGAATTGGTCAGTGGGTTTAAATGATTCATTAGTGAATCTGTCTGAATGTTTGTTTGGTTATTGTTTATTTATTTATATATATTTGAATGCATTTCTGTAAGTCTGTTTCTTTAAATTATTTTTTAAATGTATTTATTTAGATCTATTTAAATGTTTTTTTCAAATGTATTTAAAATATTGATTTAAGTCTGTTTAAAAGTATTTAAATGTATGTATTTATTCAATTCTATTCATACAAATCTATTTAAATAATTTTTTATATCTTTATATCGGTTTATGTAAAACTATTTATTTCTTTATATTTTTAGTATTTATTTGAATATATATTTATTTAATATATTTATGCAAATCTAGTTAAAATTATTTATTTAAATCTATTTAAATGTATTTATTATTTCTTTAAATCTATTTATGTAAATCTATATAAATGTATTTATATTTAAACGTGTTATTTGAATTTATTTATTTAAATGTATTTAAATGTGTCTCTTTAAATATTTTTATGTAAATCTATTTAAAAGTATTATTTTAATATTCTTTAAATCTATTTCTGGAAATCTATTTGAATGTATTTAAAATTACTTGTATTTATTTGAATCTATATGTACATGTATTCATTTAAAATAGTTGTTTTTATGTATTTATTAATTGATTTTTGAATCAATCAATCAATCAACTATCCAATAGTCAGAAACAATTGGAAAGATCGTGTAAAAATCCTGCACATTCATTGGTTAAAATGTGCAGGGAATCTTTCTTTAAACTAAGTGAAAAAGACCCTTTTCTCTCTTAGTAAGTTCATATAACATGTTACCTGAATAATAACACATCTGCATTTAAATGAATCTCTGAGCACTGAGGTTTGTTAGCACTATAGTAAGACAATAAAGCATGTTCATTATGTAAAATGAGTCACTCTGCTGTTTTAGGAGACGCTCTGAAAGTGAGCCCAGTGTTTGTCTCTCAGGTGATTTCAGGCCAGTTTCTGTCGGATAAGAAGATCGGCACGTACGTGGAGGTGGACATGTACGGCCTGCCCACGGACACCATCCGTAAAGAGTTTCGCACGAGGATGGTGATGAACAACGGCCTGAATCCCGTCTACAGCGGAGAAGCCTTCGTCTTCAGGAAGGTGACGTCTTTGTCTCGATTCGGTCACGTTATGCTGTTTTTATGCATGTTCTCTTTCCTAATGATTCTTAAATTGTAGCTCAGAATAACAGTGACATAATGACTTCACATCATTATCTAGAAAGTATAAGACATGAAATTATATAGTGCACTTTAATTATATCTACATGAGCTAAATGGAGTAGTTGCTATAGAGATCTGCGTTATGAAAGCTGCTGAGCGTCTAATTATCCGCGCAAGCGTTACAATAAAACCTGACTGGTTTTGCACTGAAGTACAGTACAGTACAAGTCTGAGCATCTTGGAGAGACTCAAACCGTCTTAAAATGACATTTTCAATTATAAGACAATGACTTGTTTAATTGAAGTATTAATAGTAATTTGACCTTGACCCTGAAAATGATTTTTGCCGTTTTAACTGCTGCTGAAGTCTTTAGAGAGGTCTTTAGCTGTGATCCAAGCTCTTTTTAAGCAATTTGTTGTTCTAGAGATTTAGCAAATGACCTAACAAACAGGCCTTCACACTCTGCTTCTGTGATTATTAAGGCTTATTTATTTATTTATCTTAATGTAATTTATTACTATTATTATGATTATTATTTCATTGTTCATTATGTATTTTGAACAATGTATTTTTTTTCACTTGTTCTCCAAGGCTTTGGCAATTGTGTATAGTTTGTGTTATGTTTTTGTTTGTTTGTTTTTGTATTCGCTCTCTCCCACCTTCAATACCACGACTGAGGTGCCCTTGAGCAAGGCACCGAACCCCCAACTGCTCCCCGGGCGCCGCAGCATAAATGGCTGCCCACTGCTCTGGGTGTGTGTTCACAGTGTGTGTGTGTGTGTGTGTGTGTGTTCACTGCTGTGTGTGTGTGCACTTTGGATGGGTAAATGCAGAGCACTAATTCCAAGTATGGGTCACCATACTTGGCCACATGTCATGTCATGTCTTTTTAAGCCATGTGTTGTTCTAGAGATTTAGCAAATGACCTAACAAACAGACCTTCACACTCTGCTTCTGTGATTATTAAGGCTTATTTATTTATTTATCTTTAATTAATTTATTACTATTATTATGATTATTATTATTATTTCATTGTTCATTATGTATTTTCTTACATTTTATTATATGTTTTTCTTTTTTTTCATTTGTTCTCCAAGGCTTTGGCAATTGTGTGTAGTTTATGTTTTTGTTTGTTTGTTTTTGTATTATATACATAAATATATCATATTCAGTTATGACACGTGAGAACCAGTGCATTTTTGCTGCATCAGATCCAGCATTTTTAAAATCTGATGACTAAGATTTCATGTACTTTTTAAAGAAACATTCTTGGAAAAAAATGTATTTTGTGTTCCACACAAATAAAAGAATAATAAATCAATATAGAAATAATTGTACAATAATGAATAAAGCAAACCTAAATGCAAAAAAATGCACACAAAAATGTTGAGGTGCAAGTTATGAAAAAAAAGGAAACTTATTTATTTATTAAACCAAAACTGTAGCTGATGTTTAAATGAATGAATGAATGAATAAATGTATTTCTGAATCAGACGATTTATTCATTTATTTACATTTGGATTAACATATTTTGTAATTAATTGTGGTTTTATAATGAATAAAGCAAACCTAAATTGAAAAAAATGCACACAAATGTCAAGGTACAAGCTTTGAAAAAATGCATATTTTTGCATAAAAACAATAAAATAATAATAACAATAATAATAATAATAATTGTTGTTGTTATTAATAATAATAATAGATTTTATATAAAAAGGAGTGTTATTTCTTAATCCAAAGTGCAAGTTATGAAAAAAAAAATGTATCAAAAAAGGAAACTTATTTATTTATTAAACCAAAATTGTAGCTGATGTTTAAATGAATGAATGAATGAATTATCATTGGATTAACATATTTTGTAATTAATTGTGGTTTTATAATGAATAAAGCAAACCTAAATTTAAAAAAAAGGTACAAGCTTTGAAAAAATGCATATTTTTGCATAAAAACAATAAAATAATAATAACAATAATAATAATTGTTGTTGTTGTTAATAATAATAATAATACATTTTATATAAAAAGGAGTGTTATTTCTTAATCCAACATTTCAGTTGATGTTTATAAAAAATAAATCAATAAGTAAGTCTAAGAATATGAGCTGTGCAGTTATACTTTATTAGAAAAAAATATACTGCCCCAACTGCTCCCCGGGCGCCGCAGCATAAATGGCTGCCCACTGCTCTGGGTGTGTGTTCACAGTGTGTGTGTGTGTGTGTGTGTGTGTTCACTGCTGTGTGTGTGTGCACTTTGGATGGGTAAATGCAGAGCACTAATTCCAAGTATGGGTCACCATACTTGGCCACATGTCATGTCATGTCTTTTTAAGCCATGTGTTGTTCTAGAGATTTAGCAAATGACCTAACAAACAGGCCTTCACACTCTGCTTCTGTGATTATTAAGGCTTATTTATTTATTTATCTTAATGTAATTTATTACTATTATTATGATTATTATTATTATTTCATTGTTCATTATGTATTTTCTTACATTTTATTATATGTTTTTCTTTTTTTTCATTTGTTCTCCAAGGCTTTGGCAATTGTGTATAGTTTGTGTTATGTTTTTGTTTGTTTGTTTTTGTATTATATACATAAATATATCATATTCAGTTATGACACGTGAGAACCAGTGCATTTTTGCTGCATCAGATCCAGCATTTTTAAAATCTGATGACTAAGATTTCATGTACTTTTTAAAGAAACATTCTTGGAAAAAAATCTCTTTTGTGTTCCACACAAATAAAAGAATAATAAATCAATATAGAAATAATTGTACAATAATGAATAAAGCAAACCTAAATGCAAAAAAATGCACACAAAAATGTTGAGGTGCAAGTTATGAAAAAAAAAATGTATCAAAAAAGGAAACTTATTTATTTATTAAACCAAAATTGTAGCTGATGTTTAAATGAATGAATGAATGAATTATCATTGGATTAACATATTTTGTAATTAATTGTGGTTTTATAATGAATAAAGCAAACCTAAATTGAAAAAAATGCACACAAATGTCAAGGTACAAGCTTTGAAAAAATGCATATTTTTGCATAAAAACAATAAAATAATAATAACAATAATAATAATAATAATTGTTGTTGTTATTAATAATAATAATAGATTTTATATAAAAAGGAGTGTTATTTCTTAATCCAAAATTTCAGTTGATGTTTATAAAAAATAAATCAATAAGTAAGTCTAAGAATATGAGCTGTGCAGTTATACTTTATTAGAAAAAATATACTGAATCCTTTTTGGGTGGAAATGTCACTAATAATTCAGTTTTTTGGTTTATTATTTAAGTTGTCAATAAAACAGACTATTGGAGTACTTTTTACAAAAAAAAAGGACTTCTACTTCAACATTTCACATATAATTCAGTGTTACTTGCTGATTCTTCTGAATTTCCTACACAGTGAAAATTGTTTGTACACCTTTTTTTTTCAGTGTAGGTTTCTGTCTCTTGTTTTTGCCTTTGAAACTTCTTCCTCTAAGTCAAAAACTCAAGCAGAATAAATAACACTGCAGCGCCTCGATCCCGCAGGTGATCCTCCCAGACCTGGCTGTGCTGCGCGTGGCCGTGTACGATGACAACAATAAGCTGATAGGACAGCGCATTCTCCCGCTGGATGGACTGCAGTCGGGTTACAGGCACATCTCCCTACGAAACGAGTACAACAAGCCTCTGTCTCTGGCCACCGTCTTCTGCAGCATCATCCTCAAGACATACGTGCCCGACGGCTTCGGAGGTGAGAGGCCTTTGTGTAAAAACAAGCATGAGTTTCGTCTTAAGTCTCTGTGTTTTCACGCTTTGAGATCTTCTCGTTTCAGCGATTGCAGATGCCCTGTCTGATCCCAAGAAGTTCTTATCGGTCTGTGAGAAGAGAACCGACCAAATGAGAGCCATGGGCATTGAGATGGTGAGCGTCTGTATCATTAATGCACACAACCTTGAGAGCTCTCCATTTACTTTAATCAGTTCTTCATGCACTCGTTGAAGCGCATGAATCGACTGCTTCCATTAAACTTTCAGCATTGAAGCGATTCGTTGGAATAGTGTTGCAGCAGCACAAAAATGTTCCTGTAGCTTCTGAGTTTTGATCTTTTCAGGCTGTTCGCTAAAGCTCAGGTTTCTCTGTCTTGTGCATTTATTCCACACACGTTTTGGCTGCTTAGTATTACATGGACAAATGTTCAGACAAAAGTGTACCTTCTTCAAATAGTGCAAAACACAGTCATAATTTACTTTAATCAGTTCTTCATGCACTCGTTGAAGCGCATGAATCGACTGCTTCCATTAAACTTTCAGCATTGAAGCGATTCGTTGGAATAGTGTTGCAGCAGTACAAAAATGTTCCTGTAGCTTCTGAGTTTTGATCTTTTCAGGCTGCTCGCTAAAGCTCAGGTTTCTCTGTCTTGTGCGTTTATTCCACACACGTTTTGGCTGCTTAGTATTACATTGACAAATGTTCAGACAAAAGTGTACCTTCTTCAAATAGTGCAAAACACAGTCATATGGATGGATGGATAGATTGATTGACAGATTGATTGATGGAGGGATGGATGGACAGGCAGACGGATGGTTTGTGTTTGCCTGCTTCTTTGGTTGGTTTGGTTGGATAGATAGATATATAGATGATGGATGGATGAATAGATGGATGGATGGATGCAAAGATGGATAGGTTGATCGATAGATTGATGGATGGATGGACAGATAGATAGATGGTTGGTTGGATGGATAGATAGATATATAGATGATGGATGGATGACTGAAATAGATAGATAGATAGATAGATAGATAGACGAATTGATGGATAGATGGATTGATGCAAAGATCGTTAGGTTGATCGATAGATGGATGTAAAGATGGATAGATTGATAGACAGATTGATTGATGGGATAGATGAATGATTAAATGAATGGATGGATGGATGGACAGATGATGGATGGATGGATGGCTGTAAAGATGAATAGATTGATAGACAGATTGATTGATGGGATAGATGAATAATTGGATGGATGGTTGGATTAATGGATGGATGGATGTAAAGGTGGATAGATTGATAGACAGATTGATTGATGGGATAGATGAATGATTGGATGAATGGATGGATGGACAGATGATGGATGGATGGATGGATGGATGTAACCGAAGTCTCTTAATCATGCAGATTTATGCTACAAGCTCTGTGTAGAGTTGTACAGTAAGAAAGTTATTTCCCTTAACCAGGAAATTAACGTTCTTAGAATTGACAAGACAGTTGACCCTGAGAGGTCAAGTAAATATCTACAGCGGATCTAAATATTCATAATTAATTATAACTAGTTATGATTAATTATTCATATTTCCTCATGAGCTGATTCGTTACAGTGGATAGATTGATAGACAGATTGATTGATGGGATAGATGAATTATTGGATGAATGGATGGATGGACAGATGATGGATGGTTGGATTAATGGATGGATGGATGGATGGATGGACAGATGATGGATGGATGGATGGCTGTAAAGATGAATAGATTGATAGACAGATTGATGGGAGGGATAGATGAATAATTGGATGGATGGTTGGATTAATGGATGGATGGATGTAAAGGTGGATAGATTGATAGACAGATTGATTGATGGGATAGATGAATGATTGGATGAATGGATGGATGGACAGATGATGGATGGATGGATGGATGGACAGACGGACGGACAGATGGATGGATGGTTGGATGAATAAATAGGTAGGTGATGGATAGATGATAGACGGATAGAGTTTATTTTATGCATTTGGAGTTAAAACAATGACATTATTTTTATTTGGAATAATTTACAGTGCTGAATCTTGCACAATAAAGGCTTATGGAGATCTAATTTAATTTGCAATTTAATTACATGCACAAATATTTAGACAAAATAATTAAAATAGTATGAGTTTTCTTCAGTGCAAAGCCCAGTCATGTACAGTATTCTCTCTCTGTGCTGTGATGGTGTGGTTTTCAGTCAGATATCGCCGATGTGCCGAATGACGGCTGGATGGGGAACAGGAAGCGGAGGGCGATGCTGCAGCAGAAAGACTCAGAGAGACTGAGAGCAGCGCCGGGACAGAACCCACTCATCTGCTGCAAAGAGGGTAAATATATGAGATCGAGATCAGCATGAGCATAAACCCAGACTGTAAATGAGGAATAAAAATACACATGAGTCAGTAAAAGTATAGAGTCATAAAATGAATGTGGAGTGGCTCAGATAATTGATGAGAAATATTTGAACTCATACTGAGATCTCTGCTGTTTTTGTCTCTTCATTCACTTGTTTGGCAATGTCAGATTTTTTAATGTTCATCTAATCTCATTTTGTAAGTGACTTTTCTTTCTGTTTTAAAGACGTTTTCTTTGGATTGTTTGACTACTCAAAAGAGAATAAAGGAAAATATATAAGAATTTGCTTCCTGCTAAATTTCACATAAATAAACAAAAATCTGGCTCTAAATCTCTCTTTTCTTTATTCAAAGTTGATCTAGATGAGTACATGGGGAAATAAATAAGATCTGTTCATCCTAAAGCAGTCAAAACTGTATCTCTACTCTATATTCATCTGAACCAAATAGTTTGGTGAGTTCAATAAGAAATCAGTTGAAAGCATCCAGTCATCTCATACCATTGTTTTAATTAACTTCAAACTGGCGTGTTCAGGGTGTAGACTGTGATGATTATGTTTTCTGTCTTTTACTATTGTTGCTTGTCAGATTGTGAGATGACACCAGTGGGATCGTGGGTAAAAGCTCAGGCAGACTAAAGACTTTGACACTGACATCAAAAAGCAATCCAAGACTGTCCTACGGCGAAAAAGACATCTTTCACAATCCCTGAAATTCCCAAAGGCGAAATCGTGGCAAAAATCATATATTATGCATCCGTCTCTTTCTAAGACTGTGCTAAACACAAAGCACACGTCTGAATCAGCCAGCTTGTTGATTTATTCACATATTAAGTAACATATTTTGCTTTGTGAATCTGTAGATACATCAGTGCTCGCACCTCAGCTGACCATCGATGACCTAAAGCAAACCAAGGTAACAAATTAACCAGGATAAAACATCTGATTTGCATATGAAATATGAAATGTTTTTCTAACCTCTCCCCAGACCTACTTGAAGCTCGTCAAGAAGCAGCAGAAGGACGTGAGCGCTTTGAAGAAAAAGCAGGCGAAGGTGACCGAAGGCTTTTGTTTGCTTGACTTCATTGAATTGATTATGAACACTGTGTGTGTGTCGCAGACACTGAAGGCTGTAGGGCAGGAAAACTGACGGCACGGATACAAAGACAGAGAAGAAAACAATCCTGCTTCCTATTTCAGGCCCACGTCGCACTGCAGAGCTCCCACTGCACTCAAGTGGACAGGACTGTCGCTCAACATGATAAAGAGAAACAAGCGCTGGAGAAGCAGCTCGAGAAAAGCATCAGGAAAGTGAGGTGAATGTGATATTAGGTTTTCATTACACTCACATGCGCTTTTCTCTTCATGCTGTTTGTAATCGTGTAGGTGACAGATAACTTCTCTGTGAGCTTTTTTAGGCCCCTATGATAAAGGCTTGAGTATCGAGAATCGGTTCCATTTTAGAACCGCCTCCAAATTTCCAAGAACCGGGTATTTGTTAAAGGGTTAGTTCACCCAAAAATGAAAAGTCTGTCATTAATTGCTCACCCTCATGTCGTTCTAAACCCATAAGACCTCCGTTCATCTTCGGAACACAAATTTAGATATTTTTGATGAATTCCGAGAGCTCTCTGACCCTCCCATAGACAGCAATATAATTACCACGATCAACGTCCAGAAACGTAGCAAGGAGGTAGCAATTGCGTAACGCAGCTGACACAGAATAGCATACACTGTTTACGTTCAGTGGATACTCTCCAAAATGGCGCCAGGGTGATGCGGAGGAGACGAATTGTTGAATAAAGTCGTTATTTTTGTTTTCTTTGAGTACAAAAGGTATTCGTAGCTTCGTAAAATTACGGTCACATGTCACATGGATTATTTGAACAATGTCCTTGCTACGTTTCTGGACCTTGATCGTGGTAATTACATTGATTAAGTGATTAAGTGACGTGACATGTGGCCAAGTATGGTTACCCATACTCGGAATTAGTGCTCTGCATTTAACCCATCCTAAGTGCACACACACAGCAGTGAACACACACACACACCGTGAACACACACCCGGAGCAGTGGGCAGCCATTTATGCTGCGGCGCCCGGGGAGCAGTTGGGGGTTCGGTGCCTTGCTCAAGGGCGCCTCAATCGTGGTATTGAAGGTGGGAGAGAGCGCTGTACATTCACTCCCCCCTCCCCCCACCTACAATCCATGCGCTGCACATCCCCCCCCCCCACCGACAACCCCTGCCGGTACGAGACTCGAACCCACAACCTTTGGGTTACGAGTCCAACTCTCTAACCATTAGGCCACGACTTCCCCACGACTTGCTGTCTATGGGAGGGTCAGAGAGGTCTCAGAATTAATAAAAAAATATCTTAATTTGTGTTCCGAAGATGAACGGAGGTCTTACGGGTTTAGAAAGACATGAGTGTGAATAATTAATGACATAATTTTCATTTTTGGGTGAACTAACCCTTTAAGACACGTGCATTTAGATTCCGCTTAATGATTCCTGCTATTGCATTTAATGTGATTTAGGGATGCAAGATATTATCAGACCGATATCCGAATTGGCCGATAATGGCTTATATCGGCAGAGGCCCGATATGAAAAATTATGCCGATATGTCTTGCCGATAAGAGGAATTTGTTAAGTCACATGTGCTCAGGGTGTGCTAGCGATTAGATCACGTCAGCAGTGTGGCTCACAGAATGACGCGTTCGGTGTATGATAGGGTAAGGAGTATTAATTCCGTAGGGGGCGCTGTTGGTCTACTTCTAATAAAATGAAAGTAAAATAAACAAATAACATTTAGACTGTGTTTCTGATTAAATAAAGCAGTAATTGATGTCATAAAATCATGAGTACTGTATGTTTTGATTTAAAGGTCAGAAGCTATAGCTTACATGAACAAAAAAAAATCACAAACATGACACTTGTAAATTAAATAATTTTATACAGTATATACTGATTTATTCATTAATGTGTAATATTTTTTAAACAAAGTATGAGCTCTAAAAGATTTTCTGAATTTTTACAAATCTTTTGCTCTAGACCAGTGGTTCCCAATCCTGGTCCTGGAGAACCCCCAACACTGCACATTTTAGATGTCTCCCTATTCAAACACACCTGATTCAACTCATCAGCTCATTAGTGAAGACTCCAAGACCTCAAATGTGAGTGTCAGATAAGAGAGACACCAAAAATGTGCAGTGTCGGGGGTTCTCCAGGACCAGGATTGGGAACCACTGTTCTAAACTATAACAATTAAATACTGTAGAAACTGCTCCCTTACTTCTCTCTCTGTTCAGGTTTTGCTGGTACTCCAGGGTACCTGTCCCCAGAGGTCTTGAGGAAAGATCCTTATGGCAAACCTGTGGACATGTGGGCCTGCGGTAAGGGATGAATGAGTCACAAAAATATCAGCCTTGTACGTGAGTCGGTGTGATGGATGTCACTGTTGAAGTAGATTAACCGATTATTAAATTATTGCAGTCTGAGTTTTTAAGCAGCATTGAATCGAATCAGCTAAATGGAGTGTGCCTGGTAAATTGTCTTTCTGTTTTTAGGCTTAACACTAGTTAGTCCAATGCAAGCAGTTGAACGAATGTTTCAATTAAGCCTTGATGTAAAAATGATTGCACAATTATTCAAATTCACCATCAGGAAGTTCTTCCAACTTACAAAAAGATGACCAGATGGTAATACAATGGAACTTTGAGTTATACATTCTGAATAGTACGGAATGATTACCATATTCATGCACCATAGTATTTAAAAGGCCACTCTTCAAGGAATACCTTGCTATGGCACATGTCCAAAAAACGTAGTAGTACCAATGTACCATGTCCAAAAAAAAAACCTATATGGTTTCACTATACAGTACTCTGTGCTTGAATATGATTGCTTGAATACAGACATCAGCCGAATTTATGTCCAAGTTAGTTGATATTCAAGTATTTGTTTGAAGAATATTCCTCTTTCAATGTGGCCATAATAGAAGATATGTTTCATAGGTGTGATTCTCTACATTCTGCTGGTTGGATATCCACCATTTTGGGATGAAGACCAGCATCGCCTCTATCAGCAGATTAAGGCTGGTGCATATGACGTGAGTCTGAATTTCCAATGATTTGCCTGCAAAATGTTCACAAAAAGAGAACACACTATAGAGCTACAAATGCAACATCTGATGATTTTGCTAATAACTCTGATGATAAATTGATGCCATCTTCAGTTTCTTGGCTTCTAAGGCTTACAAATTCATACAAAAAGTATTAAATGATGGATTATTCTGTTATGTTTCATGTCTGTATGTAGTTTCCTTCTCCTGAGTGGGACACAGTGACTATATTATGCTCTATTCATTATTTTTTAGAAACCTCACACTTTTCTGCTCAATTTTAAACGTTAAAAACGTCTTGTATTCAAATTAAGCGCGGTCCACTGCTGCACACTTGCCACAATATCGATACAGGGCCAGCTGTATCGATACTCGTATTATCAAATCTCTGTGACGATACATCGTCGTATCGAACACAGCACTAATACTTATGCGATTGATATATAGTTTATTTATTTATAGTATTTGTTTATTTATAGTTATTTTCAAAGCTTCAATGTACTGTCATTATAAAATAACTTTAACATTATACGTTAACTTTAACATTATTTAACGTTATTTATAACATTATAAATAAGTTATTGTTAAAAACTAACCAAAATTTTAAATAATTTGCTTAGAATTTCCACACAGGAGAGACTTGGTGTTGTTTCCAAACAAAAGGAAATATATCGGTTTCGGCCGATAAAATGAGTTGAAAAATATCGGCATATCGGATATCGGCAAAAATCCAATATCGTGCATCCCTAATGTGATTTTAAACAATTTAAGCGCAGGAAGGGAAAGAACTTGCGCACTATTTGCGTGCAAGCACACATCTGAAGCGCGGGTTCTTGGCCTGTGTCCGTTCTCGAACCGTTCAGTGCATTTCCGCTGCAGAAAAGACTTCTTTTTCACATTTACCAACCAATATGCACAAAAATACGTCAGCATATCATCATAAACACAGCCGTTTTTGTCTTAAGTGAATGTAAACAAATGAGAAAGAAAACGCATAGTGTAACAGTATTTTTAGATCCGCATGCGTTTGGTATTAAAGAGACAGCAGCCTAATAAACGCGCTGCCGGTCATCAATGTTAATGTTAAGAAAATCATTCACTGATCTTGACTGAATATCTTTCGTAACTTTAATGAGGATTATTCTATGTGTTTTTAGGCTGCTTGCTCACATAATTTTTTTTAAATTGGATTTTTTTATCTTATTGCAATCGAAACTGGGAATCGATAAGAACTGGAATCAATAAAACTCAAACGATATACGCATGCTATACCAGGGGCGGTTCTAAACACTTTTTAGGTGGGTTTCAGCCCCCCTATCTGTCACCTTACCCCCCCCCAAAACTATCTTAACGATCAGGCCAGTGCTGCTTCCTCGAGAAAGTTTTTCATTCTCACGTGTTTTAAGTCTTGTCAGTTTAAACATTAAAGTAATTTTAAGCCATTTAAGCCCAAGACATCTCAATGCGGTACTCACGCACTGTGATAGAGCGTTTCTATGCGCACCGCTCACACACCTGAAGTGCACAAACAGATAGCCTTCTCAGACAGCAGGTGAATACCAATGGCTGTCTTGACAAGTATCCTTGTAAGCACAGTCGGTTGTTTTAAGTGAATGTAAACAGTAAAGAAAATATCAAATGTACATCAGTATAACGGATCCGTGCATTTCTTATGTAAATAATGTTAATCAAAAAGAGCAAAAGAAAAATTGTTCGCTGCTTTAATGGATATTTGCTTTTATGTTAATGTTAATAAAGTAATTCGGTGTGACTACAGTAATACTGGGGGGGTTGGGGGGGGCGCGAGTGACATTAGACAAACTTGGGGGGGCGCATGTCCTAAAAGGTAACATTTCTGTCACACGCTTGAGGTATTCGGCCAATCACAACGCATTGGATAGCTGGCCAATCAGAGCACACCTCGTTTTTCAGACCGATGAGTTTTGTAAAAATCGACGCGTTTCAGAAAGGCGGGGCAATAAGGAGAAACAATAATGTACAGTATGTGGAAAATAATGTGTTTTTTTAACCTTAAACAGCATAAACACATTTCATTACACCAAATACACAAAATAATGTTCTTTTTAGCAACATCATATGACCCCTTTAACACATTATTATCTATAAACCACAGTCAAACACAAACACAATACTGACTGTCTTCACTGAGTAATTATATTCCTGTGCCATTTATAATTTTTTTAGTGTGGCATAAGTGTTGCAAATATTTTTCAGAACTGTATATATTTACATCTATTCATTTAGCATACTCTTTTATACAAAGTGTTTTACAAATGAGGAATACAACTAAATTATATTATGTTGTGTTATCTTAATAAAATTGCATTCACAAGATATTTTACTTCTGTAATTTGGAATATTCATGAGTGAAACTGGATTAAAAAATGAGTAAATAAATTAATAATTTTATACATTAGGAGTTATATATTAATAAAATATTACAGTGACATTATTTGTATGTAATTTGGCATATACCTGAGTGAAACAAAACAAAATTAATTAAATAAATAAATATCTTTTATGCTTACATTATTTTTATGTAATAAAAATAAACTAACAAATAAATAAATACATTTGATTTTATACATCAGGAGTTATTATATTTCAATTACAGATTACGGTTACATTATTTTTATGCAATTTTGCATATTCCTAAGTAAAACTAACTAACTAAATAAATAAGGAGGCATTATATATATCAATAAAAGATTAGTGACATTATTTTTATTTGTAATAATTTACAATGCTGAATTTTGCACAATATAAGCCAGTGTGTTTTAAAAAGTAAATGAAGGTCAAATTTGATTTCAGGTTCACTTTAAATGATTCAATCAGTCTCTCAATTATTGAAAGGCTGTAAATGACATACTATATGACATTAATTATACTAAAATTGAAGAATGTTCTTTAAAATATACATTTATAATTACAGCATTGACAAGGTCAACTAAACCCATGACATGTGAATCACTGTAGGTCCACATGCTATGAGCCTTGTGAAAACCAAAAAATATTATAAATGAAGCATAAACAGTTTCTTTTGAGTGTAAAACAGGACAGACTCTCATCATCTGTTCACCCTTAGTGACAGTTACAGCCTTGACATGAGCAGAGACATCGAAAGGCAGATCAAGACTTTAACGAGCAATCACAAATCAAAGGTACTGAGTTCTTCATTCACTTCCAGCTACTTGTTTTACTCCAGCAGGATCTGAGTATTGAAACAGACGCACTGTCTTTTGTCGCTGTACGCAGGTGAAGGACATGGTGGCCGCTCACGTGCTCGAATGGGCAGAAATGATCAAATGGCACTCGGCTGAAGAGCAGACTGTGAGAGAGCAGCATGTGATTCAGCAGTGCGAGACGCTCCGGAAACTCCTGCTGATGGAGCAGGAGCAGCAAACCCAGCAGCTCTCGCTCCTCCATGAGAGGTGAGAGAAGAAACGACTGAACGTTGAACTTCGACTGAATTTAGATGAAAGCTCGTATAGCGTCCTAGAAGGTTTGCAGCCGAGTGTGTTCCTCTCTTCATCGCTGACCTCAGGACAGTGACCTGTAGCACTGAGAACTTAGACATCTCTCCATGTCTTTAAAACTTTGTACTTTAATGAATCCTGCGGTTTCTTTTGTGTTGGAGAATTTTGTGTCATGCAGCTATGTATCGCATATCTAACTTGACAACATGTATTCCATATATAATATAATATGATATAATAACTTCTTTTGGTTAAAAATGAGACAAAATCAATTTTTGAGCAAGTACATAACCAGCCAGTGTTCAAAACTATCTCCTTACCTTAGCCCGATTCACAACGGTAAGCTTATAATAATGTTTTCTAATTTGAGTGGTACTGGTAAGAATTTACGGGGGAAAATTCGAGCATGCCGCTGCGACATTGTCACATCTGTAATAGGGCTGGGAAAATAAATCGATGCATCGTGAATCGAGAAATGATTCCGCATCGATTCTGAGATTTTCCAAATGCATCGCAATTCTTTCTCGAGTCGATTCTGAGCTTAGTTTTGAACAGTAGATGGCGCTGCATGCTTTAGAAACAGCCGTACTCTGCTTGTTTCCAAATCCTTACACACACTTGAACCTAAAATAATCATTCATAAAATTCGAAAAGGTTGAAGCGATTACAAGGGTGTACACAGTGGGCTGTTTACATTAATCTCGTGTCATAAAAGCATTCTGAGCCGAGGTGAAATTACAGACTCAGCCGAACGCACAAGCGCTTTTCAGCGCTCTTCTTCATGAGCATTTTAGTGTGCGGATAAAAACTAGAGTAGAGCGCCATCTGCTGTTAAAATCTAAGCTCAGAATCGATTCCAGAGAGAATCGCGATGCATTCGGAAGATCTCAGAATCCATTCACGAATCGATTCTGCATCGATTTATCGTCACAGCCCTAGTCTGTAAACATAAAGAAGCAGTCCCGGCTAGTAGGCTATATCTGCAGGTGGCGGATCGTTTATAGCTTTTTCTCACAGCAGCTGCAATAATGAAACTTATTTTGATGGCGGATTGTAATCCAAAAAGGTTTATGTGTTTATGAAACACAAGTGACTGAAATTAGATTATACAGTCTCTCAATTATTGAAAGGCTGTAAATGACATACTATATGACATTAATTATACTAAAATTGAAGAATGTTCTTTAAAATATACATTTATAATTACAGCATTGACAAGGTCAACTAAACCCATGACATGTGAATCACTGTAGGTCCACATGCTATGAGCCTTGTGAAAACCAAAAAATATTATAAATGAAGCATAAACAGTTTCTTTTGAGTGTAAAACAGGACAGACTCTCATCATCTGTTCACCCTTAGTGACAGTTACAGCCTTGACATGAGCAGAGACATCGAAAGGCAGATCAAGACTTTAACGAGCAATCACAAATCAAAGGTACTGAGTTCTTCATTCACTTCCAGCTACTTGTTTTACTCCAGCAGGATCTGAGTATTGAAATGCTCTCTGTTGTCCCTGTACGCAGGTGAAGGTCATGGTGGCCGCTCATGCGCTGGAATGGGCAGAAATGATCAAATGGCACTTGGCTGAAGAGCAGACTGTGAGAGAGCAGCACGTGATTCAGCAGTGCGAGACGCTCCGGAAACTCCTGCTGATGGAGCAGGAGCAGCAAACCCAGCAGCTCTCGCTCCTCCATGAGAGGTGAGAGAAGAAACGACTGAACGTTGAACTTCGACTGAATTTAGATGAAAGCTCGTATAGCGTCCTAGAAGGTTTGCAGCCGAGTGTGTTCCTCTCTTCATCGCTGACCTCAGGACAGTGACCTGTAGCACTGAGAACTTAGACATCTCTCCATGTCTTTAAAACTTTGTACTTTAATGAATCCTGCGGTTTCTTTTGTGTTGGAGAATTTTGTGTCATGCAGCTATGTCTAACTTGACTAACTTGACAACATGTATTCCATATATAATATAATATGATATAATAACTTCTTTTGGTTACAAAATCAATAAAATCAATTTTTGAGCAAGTACATAACCAGCCAGTGTTCAAAACTATCTCCTTACCTTAGCCCGATTCACAACGGTAAGCT